TCATCTTTTTTGCTTTATTTCCGTCTACCCTTTTCTTTCTTCCTCATATATTCTCATTTTCTCCGATTCCCCTATTTCCTTTTCTCTTCTGTGCTTTTTCCTTGATTTCGTAGATCACGCGCTCCCACTCTCCGCTTCTTCTGTTAATCCTCTTCCCCCTTTCCATGCCTTCCTTTCATTAGCTTCGTGCTCTTGCTCCTTTTCGCTTGCTTCACCTATATCCTCTTCTCCTCCAATTCTCTCCTCGTTCTCGTCGCCTCCTCCGCCTGTTCCTTTTTCTCCAATTTCGCTTTATTCCTCTTACACTCTATCCTCTTCCTCCCTTCCTTCTCCTCCGACTTTTTTTTCCTCTTTTCTTACATCCTTATTTCTTCTTTCCCTTTTATTATTGTTTTCTCTTTTCCCTTTTACTCCTGCTCTCCTCTTCATCCCTCTCCAGCCTCTTCTTTCCTCTCTTCTCCATTCCCTCCCAATGTCTCTCTCCTTGCATCCTCCTCTCTTCCCCGCCTCTTGCTCCTCTTCCTCCATTCCTTTCCAATTCCTTTCTCTTCCCCCTCCCCGTTCTCTTTTACTTCCATTTCCCTCTGATTCCCTCTTCTCAAACTTCTCTTCTCTATCTCCCTTCCCTCCTTTGATACAGCCTCCTCTCCTACATCCTAACACCTCCTTTCCTTCTTCAGATTCCACCAACACCTCCTCCTTCTCTCCTTCTCAATTCCTCCTCTTTCCCCTCTTCTGACCCCTACCCCTCTCCTCCTCCCTTCCTACGTCCTAAAATCCTCCCCCCTTCCCCCCCTTCCCCCCTCTCCTTCCCCTCAGCTCCTCCTCCTCCTCTCTCTCCACCTTCTACGTCCTCAAAGTCCCCCCCTCCCTCCCCCTCCCTTCCCCTCCTTCCCTCTCCTCACCTCTCTTGCCACTCCTACGTCCTCAAAGTCCCTCCTCCCCTCCTCCCTCCCTCTCCTCTCCCCTCACCTCTCTCGCCACTCCTACGTCCTCAAAAGTCCTCCCCCTCCCTTCCTCCCCTCCCTCCCTCTCTCCTCCCCTCTTCTCGCACCTCCTTACGTCCTCAAAGTCCCCCTCCCTCCCTCCCTCCCCTCCCCCCTCACCTCTCTCGCCACCTCCCGTCCTCTCCCCCCTCCCCCTCCCTTCCCCTCCCTCTCTCCTCCCCTCTCTCGCCACCTCCTACGTCCTCAAAGTCCCCCCTCCCCTCCCTCCTTCCCCCTCCCTCCCCTCACCTCTCTCGCCACCTCCTACGTCCTCAAAGTCCCTCCCCCTCCCTCCCTTCCCCTCACCTCTCTCGCCACCTCCTACGTCCTCAAAGTCCCCCCTCCCTCCCTCCCTCTCCCCTCACCTCTTCTCGCCACCTCCCTCGTCGCATCCTGTTCCTATGAATCAATCACCATCTGCCCAGTGACTGGTCAGCTGTCGTATCCTTTGTCCTGAGCGTCCCCCCCCACCCCTCCCCACCGCTGCCTCCAACCTCCCCCCCTCCTTCCCTCGTCCTAGTCCCCTCGGTCCCTCCCCTCTCTCAAACGCCCTCTCGCCTCTTCTTTGTCTCCGTTTGTTTCTTATCTTCACTCATCTCCCCTTTCCTCCCACACCTCATATTCCTCCCCGCCGGTTCTCTTTCCTTTTCCTCCTCCCTCCTCTCCCTTTTTTCCCCCTGATCCCCACTTTTATTTATCTACTCCACCCCTCCTTCTTTCCCTCTTTCCTTCTGCCTTCCCTCCTTTTCCCCTCCATCCCTCCTTCCTTCCCTCCCCTTCCCACCCCCCTCGCCCCCTCCCCTCCCTCCCCTTCCCCGCCTCCCTCCGCTTCTCCACCTCCCCTCGTCCCCTCCCTCCCCTTCCCAACTCCCTCGCCCCCCTCCCTCCCCTTCCCCAGCTCCCCTCGCGCCCTCCTTCCCCGTTCCCCAGCTCGCCCTCGCCCCCTCCCTCCCTTCCTCCAGCTCGCCCTCGGCCCCCTCCCTCCCTTCCCTAAGCTCCCCTCGCCCCCTTCCCTCCCCTGCAGTGTCTAGCCGAGATTTTTGATGTTCTTTTCTTTGCCTGAGGGGAAAGGGGGGGGGGGTAAGGGAGGAGCGGGGAGACGGGAAGGGTAGAGAGAAGGGAGAGGCGAGGAGAAAGAGAGAGGAGGAGAGAGAGAGAAGAGAGAGAGAGAGAAGAGAGGAAGAAGAGGTGAGAGAGAGAAACAGGAAGAATGGGTTCCAAAGTGAAAGGGGGAAGAGAGGAGAGAGTAAAAAGAGGTGAGAGGAGAGAGAGAGAAGAGAGAGAAGAGAGAAAGGAGAGAAAGGAGAGGGAAAGAGAGAACAGAGAAAAAAGACAAGGTGAGAGAAGAAAAAGAAGAAGGGTACAAAGTGAAAGGGGAAGAGAGGAAGAGAAGTGAAAGTGAGAGAGGAAGAGAAATAAAGAAGGATAGAAAATTAATCAGACGATATAGAACAAAAAGACACATAGGAAAAAGAGAGAAGAAGGAAAAGGAAAGACGCAAGAGAAGTGAAGGA